CTTGAAAATGGAGCAAAATGAATCAAAGGCATGGACTGTAAACAGCGTTACAAACCTTGGCAAACAGGTGTTCCCCACACACACACACACACACACACACACACACACACACACACACAGTACCCCAAGTTTTCCCCCTCATATACTATAACTGTACTATATATTGGGGGTATGTATTGCTGATTAGCGGGTGAGTTTTGGGTTTGGTATGGCTTTTGGGTTAGGACTCTTGTCAGGACTACCAAAAAAAGGTATTACATTGGAGGGTCTAGGTAGAATGTCAGCTCACACAGTAAAGTACCTACATTATGTAATCCCTTTATAGACGATTTCATTGTCCACACTACTACTACAACTACCTAATTGCCACTAAAACACGATACTCATGAGGCCTAGCGGCAAAGGACATACCATAAGGAGCACCCAGCCTCTCCCAACAGAGATGCTTGCCGCATCTACCAGGATCATCGTGAAATTTCTGCAATAGCTGCCACATGTTGCCAGAGTTCATATACGGCATCATGATCCAGAGACCTTCTTGCAAACGCATTCAGCAAACATCTACGGAACCTTCCAAAGGGTGATCTCCCCCCTCATAATGAACCCACCCACCCCTAAAACTGAATACCCCCCCAAACGATACCATTTTATAAACAATAGGGGAGTATTTATTGTTAGGAGGTGGGGGGCGTACTCTTGTGGGGAAAGGAGCAAAAGGTACAATAGGGAATCACCCCAAAACGTCAAATGCCAGGGGAGCCACCAGAGTCAGTGTCTATGTAGTCTGGCGCACCAAGTGTCGAGACACAGTACTCAGATGTCCCATACATCTTCCGCATTGCTCTGACTTCGCGGAATTCCTGGCAGTTAGGGTTTACGAGATATGGTACAAGGTTTAGGATCTAGAGTTGAGGGTTTAGGGGTCATGCGCATGCACCTGAACTTCTCAGCCTACATGCAGCTTCCTACATCTTCCCACAGTCAGCCGACCAGCAGGATTATACCGGTTTAATCGGAGGGATTTCGTCTGTGCAGTTTGGCAAACGAGCTATTTACGATCAGAGGATATACATGGTACAAAGAGGGGCCCCCTAAGGACTAAAAAGTTATACTACAAAGGGCTCATATTCAGAAACTGGCAAAAAGGATTTTTGGAAAACCGTGCTTCAGGGGGAAGTTCATCAGGAAGTTTGCCCAGCTGGAAACCCACAACCCTTGGCATCCTAAACCCAATCTCCATAGACCTTCATCTCTAAATCCCAAGCCGAAAGGGTTATAGGTTAGGAGGTCCCCCCACCCTGTAATAGTGGTATAATAGGAGTTTTATAGGACCCTAATACAATCCTTATTATCGCTAAGTCACTATTACTGGGTGGGGCGTCCACCTAAGTTGTAGGGTTTAGGGGGTTTAGGGTTGGCAAACCCTAAACCCTAAACCGCGTCCTGTAGACTCTTCTCATGCAGGACCTTCACCGTCACTGTTACATTCGACGAGTTGCAGGAAGCCACGTAGAGATAAGCAGCTCCTAAGCTCGAAGTCATCTCATGCAATAGCAATTTAATAGCAAAAAAAGTAACAGTAATAGTTATAATAGTAATAATACGAATAGCAATAATGGTGTAACCATGGTATTAATTTAATGATGATAGTATATGATTATATGATAGTAACTATAATGATGATTTTATTGTAGGGTTAGGCGTCCCACAAATTAAGGGCTTGATGAGGGATTCTTAGGAACTATTAGGGCTTGCACCGGGAGTATTAGGCCTTCTCAGCTTGAGGGGGGGTGCATATTTGGGCGGGGCCATTGTAGATTGTCTCAGCTTATGATGGTATGCATGGGAGGGATTTTCCTACCTAGCATGGGGCCTGAATCATAGGCTCCTCTCAAACACCAATTCTATATCCTATAAGACCATTCAAAGCCAATTCGCCGAAGCTGGTCCAGCCTCAGAGAGTTTGGAATCCACTAAAATCCTCCCTTTACTCCCCGCCACATCTCCCCCCCTCCAGTCATGGGCGACGGAGCAGCTCATTTTTGGGGTAATCCGACTTTCAACCCCCTCCCTGCCGCGACCCCAGCCCCCCGAACCCCACCCGACCCGCGCTTAGGAGTGTCGTGCGGCTTAGGCTCCAGGTTAAGCAGTAGGGTACTAATACATACGCTCCTTTTGTTTGTACTCAGTTGGTGTACAGCGGCATGTTTTGCTCCTGGCTTTGGACATAGGGTTTGAATCAGTTTGAATCTTCGCCCGCTACATATTTACTTGAGTTACTTCAGTCCCGCTTTTAGCAGGCAGGCATGCAACCCTACACCCTAAAGCCTATACCATGACATGAACTCCGACAGGAAAGAATGATCTTACTCTGCAAGCTTTTGGAGTCAGGTAACCTTCTAGGCCGAGACCCCCAAATCGATGTTTCCAAAGGTCGTCAGGTACTCCTTGCACCCTATGCCCTTCATCCTTCACCCAAGACCATAAACCGCATGGTAGGCTCCATGACCGCCACTGCCTAGTTCTTTTAGAAACGTGAGCCGCGAGGACCAGGCAGACGGAAGCACAGGCGGAGTCAGTATCACCGTCTCTGCCTGACGCCCAAAATTAGGGGTACCTGTAGAGGGATTTATAGGGGTTATGTAGGGTATATAGGGGTTATATAGGGTTTAGGGTTCAGGGTTAGATAGGAGCGATATGGGGGGTAAGGGGGGGGGACATAGGGGTCATATAATGCAGGGATGACAATGGAAAAGAACGTGGATGCTATTATTTGTCGTTTAGGGTGTCCCAAATTAGGGTCAATCTGATATTACTACCATTACTGGAGAATCAAATGGACAGGAAACTTGAAAATAACATGGAAACTGGGAGGATATAGGTTTATACGGTCTAGGGTTTCCCAAAATTAGGGGTACCTTTCTGGGGGTGGGGGCCCTATAATCAGCATTATAGTATTTTGGGGTCTACATTGAGGCCCCCCTATTTTGAGAAACTCGTACTCAGTTTAAAGTAAGAATCCAGGCAACAATTAGCCCTAAGGAATAAATATCATCCAAACATGTTCCATTCACTGTCGACTGTCCTGGTGTCCCGGCTCACGCAACCCAAGACCTTAATCTTAACTTAGCTGTCTTTAGGACCCACCCTAAAAGTTAAACTTTTAGCCTCCTTAATATAGAAAGTAGGAAGACCAAAAAGTCAAAGTCCTAACAGCCAGGCAGAAGACAGCCAAGTTGAGATCCTAGTCCTCAACCCTCTAGGCCGTACGCTCTAAGGTCGGAACTACGGCATGCTTCAGAAAGGCCACTCAGGTCCCTCTCAGAAGCACCTCCAGCACGCTGGCAGCCGCTGACTTTTCGCCGTTTTCGTACCTGGCGAAAATATGGGCTTTATGGTGCATTCATGGTTGAAGTTTGGAGTTACCCTAAACCCTACATCCTATTTAGGGCTTGGGATTTTTGGCACTTAGGGCTCGCCCCTAGGTTGAATATGTAAGGCTTCAGGGTAGGACTTCAGGTATGGGGTTCAGGGTTATTGAGGTTGGTGATCGCTTTTTTCTCTTGCCGACTTACTGCCATACAGTCCCTATACAGTCCCCACACACAAGTATGGACTGTTCATCAATCACATGCCCTGCAGGTCTATCCCCCAAGATACTGCGGAGAGTTCCCCGGAGTATCTACTCACCCCTGCACCATCACCACTGACTCGTTTTCAATAGCACAGCAGGGGGAACATGCTAGGGCCCACACGAAGTTCGAGATCGTGAAATTGTCATACCGCCCTACGTGCACCCTTAGCCGTCTCTTGGCAATCGTTATCTTCACGGGCCAGAGGGGAGACTGTAGCGGATGCGAAGGATGCAACCACCACCGGATCGAGACGGGATGGTAGGAGCCCCCCTCTTAAGGATAACCCATGGACTTTTTGAGAAACTCGAACCTCTGCATGGTAGCCTCATCCACTCTCAGCCTCCTGTCACAAACAAGGGTATGCTTAGTTTAGATCCCGCAGCAATGACTTGTGGTGTCTGAAACATGAACCGCTCCTGTTCCATGGCCATTCGCGGTCCTGGTCGGCAACACCTGCATAGGGTGGCACTGGAAGCTGAAACTCTTTGATCCAAAGCCGACACGGAACAGCCTCCCCAGTCGAGGCTTACGACAGAAAGTCCTCCGGCCTTCAGCGGTCCAGTCGCTGTCTAGACGCAAAGCCGCTGACACCCCGCAGGTGGCGGCCAGCACCAATGCTGGGAGGGCCATGCCTACGGCATAGTCATAAGCGGCATACGTGGATGCATGCAAAATGCGAGGATACAGCGTTGAAGGCCTGCAGCCCGCACGGAGGAGGTGACGCAGTCAGCGAACTCTGCACTAGAAATGCGTCGTGTTGCCGTGGCAGCCAGCGGGGTCACGATGGCATCCGCACGTGAGATACCTCGCGAGCCAAGTGCAAAGCGCAGTCTATTGCCATGACTTCAGCAATCCACGTTCAGGAAAGTGTTTGCTGAATCTGAATAGCTGCTGGAGCTGCTACTGCTGCTGAAGCCGGCGAGGAAGACAATTGGCAGACTACGAGCTAGCTTGAGCCAGGGGAAGGTAGTGGCAGCAAAACAGGGACTCAGGTGTTGCACAAAAAAGTCATGACCAGACAACGATTTCTATTCCTGCCGGTTGAGTCCTGCGGTTGCTTGGTGAGTCCGACCTCATGGCCAAGCCATTGGCAACATGACACGACTGGGTCAGGATTCAATCTCTGCCACTGGCCAGCCCAGCTAGGTCTCTGCACAATAGGATTATATAGGGATAATATCGGGATAATATAGGGATAATACAGGGAGAATATAGGGAGAATATAGGGATTATACAGGGGCCATATTGGGATAATGGAAAAGAAAATGGAAACTACTATGATCCTCCAAGTACCCGGCGCCATGGAGGCATTGGACTTCAGCGTGTCTTCGAAATCAATCTCGACGTTTAAGCCTGGACCTTGTCATGAGAGGCTTGCAACAGTCCTTCGCCAATCCACCTGGGCCCCTCCAGCGTGGCTGTCCGGTCAACCCACTTCATACGCTCATGAGGCATCCACCAGGCATCATGGGACCAGGACCACGAGGCCTTGCTTGCAGCCACTGCGGATTCTTTCGTGGTGGGTAGTTGCGCAACTTGCGCTAAGCCGCTTTAAGACATGCTGCCTGGCTCCTGGGTCCTGGTGCAGCCAAGCCACGGTCTTCCCATCATCCTCTCTGTGTTCGGTGCAGAGCCTGCTGGGGACTCTGTATGGACCTGCAGCATTTGGTGTGCGGCTGCCGAAGAAAGCACCGTGCTTTGCTTTCAGCATGTCCCTGGGCACTTTCTGAGGACCAGGCAGCATCTGCTCCTTCCACCGAAGCCATGTTTGCCAGTGGCCTCTAGTCAAGAAATCTGCGGGGGACAGCCTGAAGCTGACTGCAGCACATCCAGCCATGACTCAGCAGCGGCTCCGGTGAAGAGCTCAAAACATGATCGCTTCCCGCCATACAGCTATTCCCAAAATGGCTCAAACAAATGGGGACACGTTTAAGGGACTAAGTAGAGGAGGCGACTATGTTCCAACCATGCTCAAGGTGAACTTTTGCTGTTCTTATGCCAGGTCCACTGCAATTGCCGCTTTAGGGGCGGTGCTTTTCAAAGAATTTCAGAGACATCTAGCCTGTGACACCAAGCGTGCCATCAAACTGTGTCTTCTCACACGCCCACTCGAAACAAACGTTGCCGCAGCTTTCGCGTAACCAGCATGAACAGCACCGCCAACAGCAGGGCACCTGCTCTCTTCAGCCATTTTGCCTGTGTGCGATTCATGGTGACGTAGGACCAAAGGATCTTGCTCAAGGCACTGTCAGCTGGAAGTGTGATAGGCGAAGGTGGGAACAGGGGCCGGTACATCACCGCACGCTGATGCGACAGCTCGTTGAAACCAAACTCTCCATAGCAACTTCCCATGCCGGAGCCGCCAATCCCACCGAAGGGCACATGCGGGTTGCCCTTGTGCATGGCTGTATCTCCCACAAGGATAGCCCCAGAGCTTGTGCTCTGCATGACGTGGTCCACAACGGGTGGAGGGGCAAAGACATAAAGCGCCAGTGGTTTCGGCCTACTGTTGATGTAAGTGATTGCCTCGTCGCAAGATGCCACGCTGAGAATTGGCAGGACGGGGCCGAACAACTCGTCTTGCATCAGCAGGCTGTCGTTCTTGGGGTCCACGACGATGGTCGGTTGTACATATCTCTGCCCCTCCTTGATGGTACCTGAGTCCATGCTTCCTTTGACTGCTGACACACCGTATATTCTAGCTGTCTTCAAATACTATCTTGGACTGCCGCGCTATTAATCACTTCCCGCTACATCACCCCCCCTCTATTATGAAATACGTGCTGCCCAGAATTCCCAAAAATGAAATCTACCCCCAAGACCATCTTTAAAAGAGCGGAGATTAATGTTAATTAGGGCTCGGATCCTGCGAATTAATTAGGAGGGTCCGTAGCATGACTCTGATCTCCTTGATTTCCAAGATCTCGACGGTTTCTGATTGGTTTGAATGAGATGCTAATTAGAATTAGATCTCAATTGACTCTAATCAGGTTCTCGTTTGATTTCGACTAAATCTCAGTTTTTCAGGTTACTCGATTTGAGTAAGATTAAGTTGATTTTCTATTGGTATTATTTAGCTTTTAATCAGATGTCAATTGCTGTAAAATCGAGTTTAATTGATTATACTACTGATTGCTGTAATTCCATTTGATCTATTTATGCTCGGTTTTAATCAGAATTCAATAGGATCCAGTTATATAACCTACCTCCAAAGGTTCGGGCCCTACGATGAATGCCCCCTGCCCCTGCTTTAGATACGGCTTGCCGGGGGGGAGCGGGGGTCAGACGTTAAATGTTAGGGGCAAAAGATTTGGAGAACAAAGGGTCCTAAACAGACACCAAGATGCCAGGGGGAGCGGATGCACCACCAAGTGCCACGTGCCCACCATGTGGCTCTCGAAGGGCTTTCTGTAGCCGTTCTGCTGCTTGTTGGTTGACCATGCGGCTGAGCTTTTCCGGAGCCTGAGAACTGTCCCCAAACATATCGGTCGTGACCTTCGGGTCGCGATGAACAGTTGATTAATCTGCTGACTTGATCTGAGAATGGGTGCTCAGAAGTGACTACGTAACTGCTGAGTGTGGGTCTGTTTATGCATGCACAGGGCCTTTACCCCTTTGAAGCCCCACCTTCTTGAGTTCTGCAACAACTTCATCACGAACTCCGCGCTCCACCAAGATGTAGTCAGGGGCGATGCAAGTCTGACCGCAATTCACAAACTTGCCCACTGCAATCCTGCGGCACGCCTCGTTGATGTTAATGCCGCCGCAGATGACGACTGGAGACTTGCCACCGAGCTCCAGTGTCACCGGCGTAAGATTCGGAGCCGCGGCTGCCATAATCAGCCTGCCCACTCGGGTAGATCCTGTGTAAACGATGTGATCCAGGGGCTGGGACACTAAGGTGGTGGATAACTCAACCCCACCCAAGCAACATCGCACTGCTCGTTGATCAAGTCGGCTGCAAATCCGATGCATCACTTGAGCTGCGTGCGGGGACAATTCTGATGGCTTGACGATGACCGCATTCCCTGCAGCAAGGGCAGTGAGCATGGGGCCGAAGGTCACCACAAAAGGATAATTCCAAGCACCAATGATTAGCACCACACCCTTAGGCTGCGCTTGCACATATGATGATGCAGGTTGCAGCACCATCGGCGTATTGACACGTTTCATGGCACTCCACTCTGCAATATTATCAAGGCAGTGATCTATTTCTCCAAAGAGGCAGCCGATCTGGAAAAGGAGTGCTTGTGCTTCATCCACACAAAGATCGATGCTGAGTGCTAGGCACATAGCCTCTTTCTCTTCTTGCAACACCTCCCTCAAAAGCTTCAGCTGCCCCACTCGCCATTCTACAGAGGTGGAGCCCCGGATCACAAAATCCCGAAGCTCGGAGATGTACTTCACAGCTTCGGTGGGGCTACAGTCAGTCGTCTCGCTTGCCATCTTTGCAAAACTGCTGGGCTCCAGTGTTTCAAATGCTGTTTTGAGCCAACGGGCTGGGCAGACCCTCAAAGTAGCACAAAACCATGAAATACGAAGTGCGGTAATGCATGAAGGGAAAAAGGGCCAAGATCTTGAACATGGCCCAGGGGCAAAGATGTTTGCCTGTGCGCATGCCAGGGAGAGTCGTCACCATGCAGGCCCATACATTACAAGCACGTTCAACGAGGCCTGAATGAACAGGCATGAAGGACCTACAACTGGTACTAATTAAATAGTAACATCAGTAATGATCATGACAGCAGCGGCAAGAGGAGTAGTACTAGTACTAGTACTGGCATGTGAAATGCATTAATCCTCAAAAAAAACCTATTGTTTGTGCGCTGGAGGCCCGCCAGGCCCGCCAATCCATGGAGCTGCGGATTGCAACTGAGACAGGCGCGACGGTGCCGCGCTACCTGGAAAATAGTTGGGTATTCTTGAAAAGTCTAAGCCTGTGAACAGTGAACTTCGTACAAGGCTGCATTGCTGTTATGAGGTTAGCTTTTTCGAATGAATTAGGAATTTAACGTTGAAACCCTTTTACCCCGCGTACACTATTGGGGGGGTTCCAGAAAACTTAGAAACATGAAACATGCCTCCTCTGTAAGGACCCGACAGTTCTGAGCGTACACCATCGGGGGAGTACAGAAAACTTAGAAATCGGACTCCTTTATGAGGATCCGAGGGTTCTGAGGGCTCTAAGATGGATCTGAAGGAGATGATCTGAATTCTGTTTGGGCTATCAGGGACCAAAAGCCGGAACAAGATACAAAGGACCTACAAACACTGGCCTAAAATGGTTTCGGGGCATGCTGAAACAGAATACTGAAGAGGACCCCAATACTAAACCTGATCCAACATGAGAATCTTCCGGGCCTCGCACCCTTGAGAATCCAGAACATTGATCTAGTTCCTAAAGTGGTTGCTGCAAAGGAGCTTAAAAGAAGATATCGCAATGTGGGGAACATAGAAGAAGAAATCATATCGCAATGTGGGGAACATAAAAGAAATCATAGTGCGTTTGAAAGCTTGGAAAATTAAACAGCAACCCAGCAACTGCGATCCAGCTACCCGTGGGCGTTTGCTGTGACTGCCAGAGCATTGCCAGCGAGTGGTCTGCCCGTTGCCCTGCTGGACTGGCCTGCCATGCCACTTCTATGGGATAGTATAAGGGGTTATATATAGCCTTATCCTGGGTTTTTTCCGTGTATATAGGTATGTAGGGGTTGTATAGGGGTTATATAGCCTTATCCAGGGGTTATATACGTGTATATGGGGGCTATATAAGGGTTATCTTATATATGAATAATGGAAAAGACAATGAAAGCCACTGGCTAGGGTTTAGGCTTTATGTAGGGGTAATATAGGGATAATGGAAAACATGGAAACTACTATAGGATTATATATATATATATTCATAAGGCTTTGTAGCGGTTATGTTATATAGGGATAAAGGAAAAAGGAGAATATAGGACTAATGGAAAAGAAAATGGAACTACTACAGGTTCATATATAGTGGTATATAGCGATTATATAGGGATAATGGAAAAGCAAAAGGCAACTACAATGCATTGTTTCGGGTTTAGGGCTTTGAGTTCGCTCAGGACATGGGTAATTAGGGGCCCATTTTGGTACTGCTATTCAGTAGGTGCCGTAATAGAATCTATAACCAACAAGGGCCCATGGTTGTGAGAACAACCCACATGGCCTCCTCAACTTGAGATTTTTGGTGATTACGAGGCGGGCTCTTTGAGGCTTAGTAGGCCTTGTTCGTTTGTGAGTGGTGCACATCGCGCGGCCCATGCTACGTAGTCCTATGCCAATGAGCAACGTAATCCTTCCCCCCTAATCTTGCACACCACCCCACGTTCTAATAGCAAAATGCTCAACAATAGGCCTCATGTCTTAGAGATATTCTAGACACTAAGTAAAAGGTGGGTGGCGGGGTGTTTCATATTACTGGGGGTTTCATATCAGGGGGACAAGATTGCATTCTTACATGAGGCTTGCAGGCTTTTCTGGAACGTCAAGCATGTGGAAGGCTTGTGTGAAGAAATTTGCCTGCAAGCAAGCTCCACTCTGATGACCAGCATCCCAAAATGTGCAGACAATAGAGGACAAGTGGCTGAGCAGCGACTACTTTGTGGCCCTAAACCCTAAACCCTTTGGGGTTTGAGGATCTCCCTCTCAAAATCTCGAGGAGCCCCGAGAGAAAAACAGGGATCTGATTCCCCGTCGCCGGTCCAAGCCCAAGCGAAAGGACTGAAGCAAAGGCTGGGCTTCTGCTGAGGAACTTAAGATGATTCACCATGCTATACATACACACATACATATACATATACACATAAATATACATGGTTGTTATTCATAGGCACGTAGATATACATACACACACATATATACCTATATATGCATATGTATACAGGATGGCTTAACAGCAACCAACGAAAGCATTCTTCAGAGGCCAATACTGCACACCACCCTAGGCCCTGGGACCTTCACTTCAAAGATGGGGGGTTTCCCAAAATTAGCGGTACTTTTTGAGTGTCTATATTGAAGCCGCAAAGAGACTCCATCTTGCGTGCCCTGAAGTACCTTATACCTTGGGAGTTGCTTCTCTTCTCTCACCGCAAAAATGCCTCTCTCTCACTAAAAAAGGTCCAATAACCCCTTCAATATTTCGTCTGAATGTGGGTTCTTTGTCAGATTCCACTGAGGACCCAGCAGCAGCTGATCCGATGGTTGCAGCAGGGTCAGTTTCCACGGACAAGTTTGGCCCCGGCCTTGTGCGGGGCAGGCGCACACAGCTTCAGGGTTTCGAGCCTCATTTTGAGCGTATGCCTGCCTCTACGCCTGACAACCACTGCAACCATCAAAGTTGGCGCAGCTGCTGGCATTCTTCAGAAGTTGTTGCTCTCTAGTGTCATCGTAAAACTTTTTGGAAACCACTGCCCGAACGCTTGTTGCTGAGCACCACGATGACGACAGTTACTCATCCCCGAAACTAACATGGACTGGTAGCCCAACAGTGCCAGCTGGAGTCCCTTCCAAAGGTGCCGAGATGGGTTTCCATCTTAATTCAGGGGAGGCCGATACCTGCGCAATTCCTATTCCTATTCGTTCATATTCATTTTCTGCATGGTCCCTGCGTGAATGGATAATCCCTATAACCCATTTCTTCCAAGCCCTAAACCCCAAATCCTGTACTTTAGGGGCCTTTCTTTATTTCCATTACGATTTTGAGTTCTACTTCAGGCACCCTATACCATAAGTATGCTAGGAAACTAGAACAGTAACATTGGCAGTTATCTAGGCTTCTACAGTACGTAATCCCTATAAACCCCTGTCTGATCCCAGCTTCCATGTCATTTTCCATCTTCTTTTCCCACTTGATTCCGCACCATTGGGAGCTAAGACAAGCTAACACTAACCCTAACCCTGAACCCTAAACCCTAAACCCTAAAACCCTAAAACCCTAAATCCCTAAAACCCTAAACCCTAAACGCTAAATCCATATATATATATATAAATGTAACTCATTCTGATGACTTGCAAGGCGCGCCTCACTGCTGGCTTGCCTTTCGGTGGCGGAGGTGGCGGTTTACGGTCCCCATCCTCTGTACAGCTTGGGGTGCAAGTGCAACCCACAGGTTGTAAGTAGGTTAAGTAGGGGATAAAGGGAAACAAAATGGGAACTACTATATTATCCAGGGTTTAGGGTTTAGACACGCGCATCTCACAGGGCAGGCACGGTTTAGGGTTTAGGGTTTATATTGGGGCGATATAGGGATTATGGAAAAGAAAATGTAAACTACTATAATGGGTTTAGGCACGCGCATCGCACTCAGGCAGGCACGCATGGCGGGTTTGGGGTTATACTAATAATCAATACCCCCGCATCCCCAATGTTGAGCAAGTCCCCCAATGTATAGGTCTCGTGTGGGTGGAATATCGGACGGGTGGCCGAGGGAGTAATGCGATGTAGTTTGGGCCCACCTGGGTTCCTATTTATAGGCTTTATTGGTGATTTGGGTTCGAGTTTGATTCTATTGGGGTACTTGGACCCTTAGTCGCCGTAGTACAGGGTTTCATAACTTAGGGTTGAAGAGCAGAAGGCTTCTGTTCGAGAGGACTGCTCATAGCTTGGAGCCCGCAGTCCTGGAGATTTCGCACATCAGGGTTTAGGGTTTAGGCTAAAGNNTAGGGTTTAGGCTTTAGGGACTTCTCCTGAAACTCACTTAGTCACGCCCTACAGTCCGTATGTCATCGAATGGGTTTATCCCTCCATAAACTCCCCAGAATCACACAAGAGCGCCTAGAACCTTTGACCCTTAGGAAAGCACGAACATGGGCTTCCGTGTAGATGTCGGTTGCTCTCAAAATTATGGGCACGTCTGGGTTATAGATTATGTTATGGCACCTAATATCTAGTGGTACCAGAATGGGACCCATAACTTTGGGGATCCAAACACATGTTAAGTCCTGCGCACCTGAAATCCTAAAGCCTAAATGCTAGATCCTATACCCAGAATTCTGCATCCTAAATTCGAAATGAAAATCCAAAATGCTAGTCAAGTCTAGACCCTAGACACCAAATATTAGACCCTACCCTAAGGGTCCTAGGACTATTTGGGCCCTTCTGGGGGAAGGTTTGGGCTTTGGGGGCTAGGGTTTAGGATCCCATAATGAAGGTCCAAGAGCCTTAGGGTAAACCCTAAATTCATTCCAAATTCAAATCCTAAACCTGCCGGTGGGAGTCCTTCGCAGATATCGCAGATGACTTTGATCCACTGCGACTTGCCTCGCATGTCATTCCCTTCCACCACGCCATGAGCACAACTGCCTACTTGAAGGCTTTGGGGTTTTAGTAAGCATTTTATTGGAGAGGGCTGTAAGCTGACTACCCAAATTATGAATGAATAACCTACTTACTAAATGCCCTGATCCCTGAGCCTTCAAGCGATTATACAGGTAAGTAAGTAGGCTTCGAACGAACACAAAGTTTCAATCCTTGAGGGAGTGGGAGAGCGCCATATCACAATCAAGTGGCTAGAGAATGAACCCCTTTACAGGTCACGTTATTGTTGTTTTTCCTTAGTACTATTGGATTTATTGTTTAGTACCATGATTTAGTGTTAGGGATTATTAAAATAATGATTGATTATTACTATTAGAAGTTGCAGCGAGCATGCTTGACACACACTTTGTCAGGTGCACCTCTGCCCCAGCTTTGGGAGGAGGTGGCGGCGGCGCCTTGCCTGTTCTTGGCGACACGCCGGGGCCTAGAGAGGTGCAAGGAAAGGCCATGCAGCCCGCGGCGAACATCACTGGAATTTCGTGGTGGGAACCCTAAATCCTAAACCCCTAAACCCTAAACCCTAAACCCTAAAACCCTAAACCCTCAACCCTAGGAGGCTTTGAAAGCCCTAGGCTCTGCTGACAGCACTGTGAACGATCGGCATGCGGAAAGGGAGCTGAGTCCCTGTCGCTCTGCAGGCGCAGCCTTGCATTGTGCGTATTCAGGGTTAACCCTATTATTTACTATATATATACCCATTATGGTAACTTAATTTAAGTTCCTTAACAGCAACCCAGTATTTGGCATGCCATATTGCGACTGGAAACATGGGGTTGCCTTCAAAGGACAGGAGAAGTCGGCATGCAGGGACCCCCTCTTAAGAAATATTCACTCATTAAAAAAACCAATGTTTCTGGTTATGACTATGCAACTCGATTGTGAACATCCTGGCCTCGTCTCTGGCACTGCCAATGGTAGGCGTAGACCTCTCAAATCACATATGCTTGCCGCCAGACATGTTTTCAGATTGCCAAGGCCACGCAAAATAAGCAGAAGCCTACTCTTTAACAGGTTGGGGAAAACTGTTTCACCCCTGAAAAATATGTGGCACCCACAGCGTCTAGCAGCAGCACCAGCAAGCAGGACTGGAGTGCCCAGAAAAGAAGGCCGGTTGGCTGTACATCCCCAATTTGTTGTGATGTGCTCGAGCTCGTGCTCATCCCAACCAACTGACAGAAGACTCCTGGGTGTCTTTTCCTGACTTTACTCTGTAGTCCTCTTAGACCTAGAATAAAAACCTCATTTTCAAAACATCCTTAGAATTATACTATAATCAAAGCATAAAAGCGGTTCGTAAGGAGACTACAGTACCCTCATCTGGGGCCAGCGGCACTATAGATCCCACATAATATGTATATATATATATATATCTCTCTCTTATCATATTCCTTCTGATAGGGATCCCCAGAAGAGTACCCCCAATTTTGGGAACCTCCCAAGTAGCCCGTAGCCCAGTTGCCTATTGAAATCCCGGATTGCAAGGCTCTGGCGGTGCTTGGAAGGCGCTTGCTCCCTCTCCGACCTTGCTTTCGAGTAGTTGGCTCTTTCTCACACGTGGCTGAACCTCTACTCTTCTTCAGGGCTTTAGCTGGTCTATGTTAAGAGGACCCCCCCACCCTGTAATAGTGGTATGATAGGAATATAAGAGGACCCTGATGTAATCCTTATTATCTGAAATACTCACTATTACTGGGTGGGGGGTCCGCCTAAGGTATATGTTATGAAGCGATACGAAGTGTATAGCAACAAGGCATGCCAAAATCAATGCAAGCCTTACTGATATCATCCTCACATTGTTGAATTCGATTTCCGCATCGAGCGAGCGGGCGGACATGGTTGGCATGCATAAAAATCATCACTGAGCCAACCACGTGATGGTAGGCTAGACAAGCGAAAGGGGCTCAGACATCCGAGGTTCAGACTAATGACGCCATTCCACTCTCAGTCCACAAGTTTTGTATCTTCCTAGCCTGGGACTTGCAAGCTTGACTGCTTGCCTTTTTGCATGCAAGGAGCTCATGAACTCTTGAAGGACTGACTATAGTGACTGCGGGTCATGACCCGATGAATTGCATGTGGTCTTACGTAGCCTGGCCTTCTCTGCTGCTTCCTTGTCAGCTGCCTGCACAGTGGCTGAGTTCCAGAGAAAACATACACTTAGCACTGTCAGGCTACCTAAGCCCAAATCTCTGAAGCCTCCACACCACTAAAAGCAAAACAGACCACCTGCCAACGAGGAAACGGTAAACCCCAAATGCAATGCGGCCAAACCCTACATAAGCCCTAAGCTTCAAGCCGTAAAACCTAAACACCTGCCTTCATTCAACCCCCAACCCCTGCACCCAGCCTCCTTTTCCAATCGCTCTGCCTCCCTCCTTTCCGCCTCTGCCTTCTCCGCAGCTGCCTTCCCAGACCCCCTAAAGGATCCAAAAAATGGAACCCCCCAAATATGAACCCATTGCTACATTGGGGAAACTAGGGGATTATTGGGAGGTTCCATCTTCTGGATCCTTTAGGGGGTCTGGGTTCTCAGCGGCTTCAACAGCATTCTGAGGCAATCCCCCACGGGTACCCCCCGGATAACAAGGGCAACATAAATCAGAAGGCCCACAGCAACAACTGCAAGACTATTTGGCTATCTAGACGGACTGCTGAGCTATGAATCTGTCTAAACTCCTAGTATCCCCCTTAATCAACCCCTATACTAGTCCATACCCTGTATAACCCCCTTTAAGGAGTTCAGACTATAGCTCACATGGTTATTTACCGAAAGCTTTCTTACCTCGAGCTGGACAGGGTAGCCTGGCCTTCTCTGCCGCTTCCTTCTCAGCAGCCTCCACTTTTGTTTTAGGGTTTTGGGAAGCATATGGAAACATACACCTGCCAGTGTTGGAAGTTAGTACGGTTACGTAAGCCCGAAGCCCAGAACTCTGCACGCTGAACAGAACAAGAATTCTACACACCCTACACTCATAACCCCCAAGGCGGGCAAACTAACCCCTCCCTGAGAAACGCTGAACCCTGAACGAAGCGCCAAACCTTACATAATGCTGAGCCCCTGACCCTGAACTCCAAATCCTCTCTCTCTCCCACGGCCTCGAATCGATCTTGCCGCGCACAGGCAACACCACAGCAAATCCTAAACCCCAAGACTCTCTTCCACCCTTCTTCCCTAAAGCCAGCCTCCTTGGCCAATCGCTCGGCCTCTCTCCTCTCCGCCTCCGCCTTCTCTGCGGCTGCCTTCTCCGCAGCCGCCTTCTCAGCGGCTTCGGCCTCTTGTCGCCCAAGCCCATGTGAAGTATAGTCTAAACTCCTAGTATCCCCCTTAATAATGGAAAATCAAATGGACAAGAAAATGGAAAATGAAATGGAAAGTGGGAATATATCGGGGATTATAGGGGTTTATAGTCTAAACTCCTAGTATCCCCCTTCATAAGCCCCATAATCGTCCCGTAGATTATCCCCTATATAACCCCTTTTAAGGAATTCAAAGCTATAGCTCGTTTTGGGGTTTCTACTGTTTGTGCGTGCTATATATGGACAGTATGGTGTTGGCATGTTCCCTTCCCCCCAGTTGGACCGCCTAAATAGCAAAGTCTGAATCCTTCAGCTTAACACCGCGACCCGAACCCTATTGGTGTTACATGAGCTATAGTCTGGGGATCATGTAGGGGACTACTATAGGAGTTCTTAAGGGGGACACTAGGAGTTTAGACAATGGTACATATACAGGGGAATCTCTGTGGTGCAATGGTTGACCAGCTACTGCGAGGTACACGTTCAAGAGGGTCCCAGGCGGCAGGCAGTGCAATGGTGGCTTCAGCTACCCTAAAACCGTTTCACCCTGGAATTCAAAGCAATCTTGGGCCGAGTCTGCTAGACACTACTGGCCGCCAAAAAAAAAAGGGGAATAATATATGGGAGCTATGTAGGGAATAATGGAAAAAAGCAAATGGAAACTTCTTTACTATAGGGGTTAGGTAGGGGTTATCTACCTAAACCCAGCCTCCTTTTGCAATCGCTCGGCTTCCCTCCTCTCCGCCTCTGCCTTCTCGGCGGCGGCTTTCTCGGCGGCTTCCGCCTGCCACCGCTCCACACCCATTTGGGGGTCTCGCAGAGTTGGGGTCCTGCCTAATGTAGGGGGTCCCTTTAAAGGGATATATAGGGGTTATATAGGGGTTATATTGGGATAATGGAAAAGAAAATGGAAACCACTATAACCTGTCCACTCATGTCCAATCAATCCCTTCCCCTCACATTAGTAACCCTGAGCAATAAGCAATTCATCAAGAGGTATACCGCTTGATTAAGGTCTCCTTTAAAGGGCCTTAATATTAGGATCTCTATTATAAATCCAATTTGGGGGGGGTGATAAATAAGCGGTCTACATTAGCTTTTGTCGCGGGCTATGGGTCATGACCTGGCTATGAACCGGATGCGCTCAGACCACGAATACGGCAGTGGGGCCGCCTTCTCTGCCGCTTCCTTGTCAGCAGCCTCCACACTTCAGAGGGTTCTAGAGGGAAATTAAAACAGGGAACCCAAAGAATAGAATGGGAATATAATAGAATATAAGGACCCTGGTAGGTACATTCCTATGACATTCCTACTTTGTTCTTGGGGTTCCCTGTTTGGGGGGGTTTTCGGTAAAGTCCCTTTAACAGTGGCTGAGTTCGCTTTGCATGGAATACAGTGTACACTTGTCACTGTGAGGTACTGACAGGATTACATAATAATTGCTGAATCCCTGAACACTCCACGCTGATACCCCCAAGCAATCCCACGAAGCGCCTGGACTCTAGACTCTAGACCCCAAAACCCCGTAGACCACAAAACAAAACAACTTGACCAGAATGACCGCCAAAAATGTGGCAACTGACATTGACATGATGAACCTCACATATACTCCAAACCCTAAGACCTAACTCAAACCTGTATTCAATCCCTAATTCCAAGACCCAGCCTCCTTTGCCAATCGCTCGGCTTCCCTTCTCTCCGCCTCCGCCTTCTCCGCGGCAGCTTTCTCGGCAGCTTCAGCCTGTTTTCGGATTCTGAGGGTTCCAAATATTCGCAGTGCTCTACTTCATAAAGGGAAAAAGTATTGTGGGTTATTGTGGGGTATTCCCTTTCCGCCACCATGAAAAGACACCACCATCAATTCAGACTCCAAGTCCTAAAGCTTCATCCCCTCAACTCCAGGCTGCGGCTGCCTGCCTACAGTGCAATGGGCGGGTGGCGCTTGCACCCCTCAACCGATGGGAAAGGTGAACCCGGTCCGGTGCTCATCATGTCGCCTCAATAACCCCAGTGGCCCAGTGGCATCGGGTGCGTCAGGGAAATCTTCTCAGGTGGCTTTTGCAAGGACCTTAAACCCTAAACCCTACACTCAAGCCTTTGAAGGACACTGGCACATAGATTGGCCTTCAAAGCACTCTTCCAGCAACCCCCAGGCCTTCTGTTAGGGCTGTTGACAACAATTGTCCAAGCGTGGCGGTAGTGAAAAAGTAGATGTTGTGTTGACCAAGATGGACCTCACTGAGTTCAGGCCCTCAACCCTACAGGCAATAGGTTTGGTTGGTATGACCGTCTCAGACGGCGCGAGGTGTGGCTGAATGCGGTGTGGCCCGCATTTCGTCCATGCCTTGCTGCTTGGCAACATCTGTGTTGGGCTACAGCAACACAAAACCCTGATCTTCAACCCAGCCCCCATTTTCAATCGCTCGGCTTCCCTCCTCTCTGCCTCCGCCTTCTCTGCAGCAGCCTTCTCAGCAGCTTCAGCCTGTTGTCCAGGGTTTTAACTCATCCCTTCCCCCTGTTCGTAAAGCCCTTATAATACTGAATCCTAGGTGCCTCAAACTCAATCCCTACACCCAGCCTCCAGTTTTAATCGCTCGGCTTCCTTCCTCTCCGCCTCCGCCTTCTCCGCGGCAGCCTTCTCAGCAGCTTCAACCTTCCACGACTCTGAACCCATTTGGAATGTTCAAGAGTTGGGGGGCTCTGTTCCATCCGGATTGCAAAGACTCTGGGGCAATCCCCTCCTGTATGGGTAAAGCCTCCCCCCTGCAACAAGGCACCAACCCCGGAAGATCCACTAAGATCATATTGATCTTTGGGGGCTTAGGTGAGGCTTCGATCGAACCTATACACTCCAATAGCATTGGGCAATATGTACGGGCTGCGGAAAGCTTAGATCATCCATTCCCCAGTTCGAGCTATAGTCTAAACTCCTAGTATCCCCTTGATAACCCATATAATGTTCCCCTATATAATCTCCCCTTTACGGAGTTTAGACTAGAGTACGTTTGATAGTATGCACAGGGTGGAAGACTGCGCAGCCTCAGCGTCGGAAGGCTTGGCCGAGTCGCCTCTGATTTGAAGCTTTGTCGACATGCTCTCAAACATGGAGCATGACTTAGGTTGGGCGCCCACTCACTAAGGTTGAGGGTTTAGGGGAATGATGGACCCGGGGATAGTCGTAGTTATTTGTGATTCTAGTGGGGTCTGTACACCCACACCCGTCTGAGTTTGCAGTTCCGCCTGTGACATGGCTCATCCCGAACACCAATTCCCCCAGTCCCAACTCGGCGCATCAGCAAGAAAAGTCTGCCTTTGAGCAGTCTTAAGCCCCAAACTTCTAAGGTACCACATCATGCAAGGCTTAAGATCCATTTTGGAGAATGGATCCGAAATTCTGAGACCCTGAGGGCCTGCAGCTGCTTCGTCCGTCTTGTCATCTTCCGAGGCCTAATGCACATGTCATGTTGGGCTCCAAAGTGGCTAAATTTAGTTGGCCAGTGTGTATGTATGTATGTATGTATGTATGTATGTATGTATGTACGTATGTCTGTGCGTGTACCTACGCCGCACACGCACATGCGCTTTTACATGTGCGTGTAAATAAATAAATAAATATATATATATATATGCACACATGCATACATGTACTGGGCAGCTACGCTGGGAAATGTCTAGGGGTATCTGAACCTTTGGTGCCTACACCGGGCTCATTCTTGGGGTCTATTCTTGCAGGCCGAGGAGAAGATGGCACGCCATGACATGACCTTTAGTCTCAACTCCACGAAGGGGCTATTTAGGGGACTACTATAGGAGTTACTGAGGGGAATACTCGGAGTTTTTACTACGATACACATGAACACCCAAGTCATCCAAGCCACTGTCGACGGGCGCCTAGGCATGTGCGCCAGGTGAGAGGTGTTGTTGGGTGGGTTGAACATGGTGAGATCATGTTTTTCCCATAGACTACCATACCTAAAGCAAGGATATGATCTTCATCTCTCTTCGGGGCTGTAGTAACCCCTTTACAAACACTACTCAAGTTGGTTTAGGCTGGCCAAAAAAATTTGAGTCAGCCGCAATGTGCTCCCCTTTGTTCCTCAAGAAATTCGTTTTACTGCAGCGGCCCCAAATAGTTAGGGACCACGCTTGTGGAACCCCTTATATGCCCCTTGGTTAAGGCTCACTGTCCAACAGCGGCAAACAGCAGGATAATAAACATCTCATCACAATTGCGGCCTGTTTGTCTCCGAAACCAGATCGCCGAAGCTCTTGCCTCGCGTGGCGATGCGGTAGGGTAAGAATGACATTTCCGCTTCCTAGGGGTTCTGGGAGTTCAGGACTCGCTGCTATATTTCTTAAAAAAATGGAATGCCAACAGATGAAGCTCAAGAAGGGATTTCTGCCCCTAGGTTTCAGATGGCCCTCTGATAACAGTGAGGCAGTGTGAGACAACTGGGTGATTCTGACGGTGATCTCACCACATAATCCAAGCCAGGCAGCCTTACGGGCACTGTCCTGATCTATGTAATGCCCTTAAATGCAACCCTTGAGAGGCTCCTCTGCAAACCTCATAAAACCATCATTGGCGAGTTCTGCTAGGTTGACTTCCCCTAGCAAAAAAGGCCAAACACCCTAGACCTAAACCTCTGATCACAGCACCGTACGCGGAAAGGACGCTAAGTCCCTGTCGTTCTCCCGGCGCTGCCTGCACAATTGCTTTTTTGCGCGCTGATTGCCAAAAGGAAACATGGGGATCCTGTGAGTAGACAGGGACTACAAAAGGAGAGGGCTCCCAATACTCATCTCCATCATGGAGGCGCGGGGTGGTCTTTTTTAGGGCAGGGGGAGAGTAATAATAGCAATAATTGTAATGATAGACATGCTAATAGCAGTGCTAGTACTCATACTAATGAGAACAAAGGACATGCTGGCCTCGTCTCTGGCAATGCTAGACCTTGCAAATCACACATTACATTTGCAACCAAACATGGAATCAGGATGCCACCGCCGTGGGCCATGATAAGCAAAACCCAAACAAATGAAGGGAACTGGTGTCCAAAGCACATGGGACTTGCAAAGCATCTTGGTTGATTCCTCTATCGATGAGATAGTATCGTTGGTTTGTCTCCTTGCAAGTGTTACAGCGTTGAGATAAAAATAAATTCAGAGCACATAATACCACAAGTACAAGAATGCTTTAGCCGGAGAAATCAGACATTCAGTACTTGGCAGGGTAGCGAAGGGACCATGGCTTGCCAAGCACATATTCTTCGAACCAAATTTCATTGCCTCGACTAATGCCCTAGTTCGTTTCCGATGGTCCTACTTCTGCAAGTTGCCGGGCCGTAATCAGCCTCCTCTGATTAGCACTCAGGCATGGCCCCACATAAAAGCTTTATCAATCGTATTTCATGATTGCCGGGCCTGCCCTTGGTAGATTCCTATGTGGATTCGCTAGCACACGTAGCCCCCGTGTAGCAACAGAGCCGGCACCGGGCCCCCCAACAAGGAGGCCTGCCGACTGAACCTCCTCATTTTTCCACAAGCCCCAGCCACAGCTCATCCATTCCCCCTTTTTGAGGGAGCATATGGGTGGTTGTCAAAATTATGGTCCCTTTTTGGTTCCCTCTTATAATACCGCACCGAATACTTAGGGTACCCAAAAAGGGACCATAATTTTGACAACCACCCATATGAATATTGGGATTATTATCCCTATGCTGGAGAATCAGATTGAAAAGAACATGAAAAACGAAATGAAAGCTGCGACTCTGTCGTGGTTTACAAGGATTCAGGCTTTTCAAAATTTAGGGGCCCCTTTAGGGGCAAGCAAGGAATGAGAGAATGGAAAAAACGTGGAAGTCACAAAATTCTTGGAGATGGACTACTGTAAAGATCCATTCCTTTGTTGCTTGCTTACCAGAGGTAGGATAAAACGGGATTCTAGTTTCCTGGCATCACCATCTTCTGGAGAGGCCGGGCGTGTCCAGCTTGGTACACGTTAGATAGGGGTATATGGTGACAAGTTTCAGAGGATAGATGGAGCGTCTCGGTAGACAACGTCCCGGCCAGAGTAAGGCGCGCGCTTTTAATTGGAGCTGCTATGCTCTAGCAGGTTCAGCGTTTTGAGCTCTAGACCCCGTGGTTTGACAAAAGCTCATGTCATCCTCTGCAAATGCTCTACCCTATCCCTATACGGCCTCCAGTTTCCAATGCATTTCCATTTGCTTTCCAGTAGAACCCTAACCACCAAAACCTATATACCCCTGTAACCCCTTTCTACCTTAAGGGGATTACCCAGTAACACCCGACTCGCCGGGGCTCTGACTCATCTTGGAAAGCACTTGCTCCCTCACCGGCCTTCGCTTTTCTAAGCCCAGTAGGGAATAAAGGAACATAAGAAATAGGGATTATGTAGGACTACATTCCCTTATTCCCTCCTACGAACCAGTCAGGCTCAGGGTTGAGGGTTGTCCTGAAGGCAAGGTTCATAACGGTACGGTGTCAGGGTTTTGGCTGGTATGTGTGGTATGACGCGTAACGCTAGAAGGCTGCCACGACCAATGAAAGGCCAAGCAACATGATCCCCCAAAGCTGCATTCGAATACTGGACATGCCATGATTCAAGGCATTCAAACCCCCTGGTCCACCCTTACCTGGCCTGGACTAGCCCCAGTTCCCTTTTTATGCTTCAGGACTCACGATAGCCGGACTTTGCCGTACAGCTCTGTAAGCAATGTATCACAACATCGGAGCAGCATTCTAAATGACCCAAATGATGGGAACCCTTTGTTTGCATCTGGGCTCGCACACAGCCAGAAAGAACTCCGACCAAGGCCCGGGAGCACAAGCACTCACTGGCTTGACTTCCAGACTTCAGCAAGAAAAGAGGTGGAGACAACCGCACACTGAGCTACTTTGTGTTGCAGATGGGAACCCTAAACCCTAGATCTGAGGGCCAGACGAAGGACGCCATTCCACTCTCAGTCCATAGGCTCTGTTTCTTTCCAGCCTGAGACTTGCTTTGGGGTTTGGGTTTAGGGTGTGGGGTTGGGTTTAGGGTTTACGTGGCGCTTAGGGTTGGTTACCTCCTCCATGATGGGAATAATCACACCCCCCCCCGCCCCCCGCATGCTCTGCCATTAAATACTGGTACTCTGTTGGAAGTGCTCATTTTTAGGGAGGTGGGGCTACACAGTCATTCGTGGGGGGAAGGGACTAGGAACGCTATGAAACGTGAAATTCTGAAGGATCATGCGTCATCAGCTGGCTATGAACCAAATGCGTTCCTACCTCCAACAGAGCAGGTAGCCTGGCCTTCGCTGCCGCCTCCTTCTCAGCCTCCACAGTGACTGACTTTGCAAGGCATGGAAGAGAATAGCGTACACCTGTCATTGTCAAACATTAATAGGGCTATAGCAAAAAAACCGAAACCCCCTTGTCACTCCTACACGGGCCCTCCACTTTTGAGTTCCAAGACACCTAAACCCTTAAAGCCTGCAAACGGAGTAAAACAGACTAACCCAGTCAGCGAAACCATGAACCACAATTGGCTGCATAATAATCTATGAAGCCCTGATCCCTAAACCCCACCTCCGAAATAGTAAATCCCTAAACCTCACCTCTGAACTCAGCCTTCTTTTCCAATCCCTAAACCCTAAACCGTGTCATCTTCCCTCCTACTGGCCTCTGCCTTCTCTGCAGCAGCCTTCTCAGCTGCTTCGGCCTGTTCCCCCCAAGACCGATTGGAGGTTTCGCCCTGGGAGGAAACGACAAGTGTATGCAGCTTCTAAAAACCCCTTCATGGGTATAGTCCCCCTTGAGTAGATAGAATATGGCTTTGGATATAATGTGATAAGATCCCCATATACCCCATGTTCTATCTACTTAAGGGGGACTATAGGTTCTAGGTAGACTCTGGCAGCTGCATTTTTGTCTGGGCCTCATGCCTGTCTGGCTCTGCCTTCTCACTGGGGGGCCAGTATCTAGCCAGACCCCTGGGAGGACCCAAGCATAGATCCCTAGATTAACTGATTAACCCATACTACTCCCTTCTAAGCCATAAGAATCTGTACATAAACCCTATAGGGTAGTTTTCCAAAATAGGGGGACCCTAGTATAAACCCAAATTAATATTGTCCGTCTTATAAGGAGCCCCAAAAAGGTACTCCTAATTTTGGAAAATCCATAGGAGTATGTGATTCTAGGGTATCTAACTTTCAAACCCCTCTGGGGCTCTGAGTAGCGCTTTCCCAGGGGGTAAGCGTTGCAATGTTGATGCGCAAGCGGTTTTTTATTTATACGGTTGATACTAAGATCCTGCCTGATCTTAGCGTTCAGTGTACCCTGGTTCCCAAGATGTCAGACTTTTTGGGTCATGTAGGACTTTGAGTATAAGGCATCGTGGCTGAAAAGGTTGAAGTGATTCGATGTCAGCTGATGTCCCAGCCTTGTCGTGTACGACCGGGGATTTCCAAAAATTTGGGTTGCCTTGATGACCCCTAATACACAGAATGTAAATAATCCTTCTTACAGGCACGCCACAAAGGGACCCGTCATTTTTTGGGAAGGCCCCAAATCAAATTCTCAGAAGGAGTCTGGAAAGCATAGAGGTAGAGCGACTACGAACTATGTAGCAGCAAGGGTAATCCATTCACCGCGCCGCCTCGGCGTCTGAAGGCTTTGCCGTCGTGTCGCCTCTGATTTCAAGCCAGAGAGAGGTCTGCGAGCGCTCGAACATGAGGCATGACGGATGAAGAGGAGGCACACGACTCGTGGCAATGTGCATAATACGACTGAGAAAAAGAACTCTGGAAACCTGAAATGGAGAAAGGAGCAGCAGGGATCTCTAACAAATATGACCCCCGCCCCCACATCTCTACATTCATTTCTGCTCCAGGGACACCACCGAGGTGCCATAGAGAAGCTTCCAAGGATTTGCTACCTACTATCACGCGTACGCTCGCTCCATGATATGGCCCTGCCTGTGCCAGGGCGACTGGGACCTGCAACATACTGGGCTGTGGATTTCCGTGGAGTTCTGCTCTGACTTTACCGTGATTAGGGTTCGTGGCTGAGAGCTAAGATGAACCCTACTGCTAATCGGTAAAAACGTGTATTATTCAGAGCTTCCATGTTGATGTTAATTCCACAGTGGGCTGAGTATACTATGGGCATCACCCTACTCTGCTGTCACATGCGCCACTGGTATTGCCATAGGCAACATGCATGCAATTACAAACTTCGACCGCAACCTGTCCTTTTTGTGGCACTATCCCCTAGTCTCCCTGACCTTAATACGTACTTCACATTGAAGGAAAGCCTTCCGTTACATAAGTTACACTCTCCCAAACTAACATGGAAACCCATATAGTCCCCTTGTAAAAGGACTGTAGCCTTTATAGGGCCCTTTTTGGGTTTCCATGTTAGTTTCCGGGAGTGTAACAACCGCGCATTGGAAGCTGGAAGCCGGAATATGCAGACGCCTTTAAGTCCGCTTCCCCCGCGGAGCACGGGCTCTAGGTGCGAAGGACTTCAATGTTCCAACTTTCCCCTATAAAACTCCCCTATGCTATCCCCTATATAACCCCCCCCCCCTTTTATGCAGTTTAGACTATGGCTCATATGACCCTAATCCCTATTAACTACCCTATAATCCCAGTTTCCATGTAATTTCCATGTTCTTTTCCATTTGATTCTCCATTATTGGGGGGTAATGTCCCTATATTGCCCCTTATATGACCCTATATACCCTAATGTACTATAGTAGTTTCATATTCCGACTTTCCGCTTCTTACTGTACACCCATTAAATGGCCTGAACCTGCAGTGGAGTCGGAGAGGCAGCTCAAGACCTGCGGGAATAGTGGGCTTGATATTTGGAGATTTCCCAATATTAGGGGTACCCTCCCCATATGAAGGGGTACCCTGTGGGGGATCCCTATAACAAGGATTATACCATTTTAAGGCGGGTGTTTATTCCGGCCCCCTACTTGTGGGAAGCTACCATTCTTGGCCAGAGTTGAGATACATACGATGGTGCAAGATTTGCCCCATCCAACGTGCGGATTGCAGCATCAAAGGTTGGCATGTCGTGTAGCCGGCATCTGGCATGAACTCAATCCAGTGTTGCGTTATGTGGAGCTTTCCGAAAAGCTCAGTTGTGGTTTCACCAGGCATTGAGATATTTGAAAATTACAGTAAGATCTACATGTTCTAATACGCGGGCGAATACGATTTGTGTGAGGGGATATGCAAGACCTACGTACTATGAAGGCCTGAGTCATTTCCAATATTGTTTCATTAAAATGCTTATAGAAGTACAGTCGAAGACACGCAAAGCCTTGTAAGACCCCTACAGTACGCCATGAAGGCCTCAGTACCAAAAGCTATGGTACAGCATATCCCTGAATAGTGAGGCCCCTACATTATGTAGTTCCCGCAGGAAACTGAATCAAATGGAAAAAATGACGGAAAACAAAATGGAAGCTTGTTTTTTGACTGGGGTTATACAGGGATTGCTTTGGATAGTTGAATGGGAACTGGGCTTACGTGCGGGTAACGAGGCAGTTGTATGCACTGGCCTAAACCACTCCGAAGGGGGCTTTGGGGTACATGGTGCTATAGCTCTACTAGGGGCAATAACATTGGTAATCATTCAGGCTTCTACATCACAACAAACATGCAAATTCATTTGCGAGGGACCACCTAAAAAGGACTCACCTCCTGGGAGACGTCTTTGTTCAAACAAGAAAACACAGTCAAAACCGGCCCTTTCATGTGTCATAGATAGAAGTGTCTTCGAAGTCATGGCCCCGGGCCGGGCTGATACAGTCCCCAATATTTACGACACCCAGATTGGCATCACAATTTTGGACGTTTCATGTCAGGAGTGCTTGTTTTGGTGGCCGAACCGCGTGAGAGTATGTTCTTCTAAGTAAATACTAAAAGCCAAAGGAAGATACAAGCTTGCTCGAGAGTGGGGAGGACAAGAACGCATGAAATCTGAAACTGTGTTCGCGAAACTCCTACACTCATCCCGTAAACCCTAGACTTCCTACATTAACATAACCCCTTTGACCTCGTTCAAGGGACTACATACGAGCATCTCCCTACCCATAATGCAAGCGAGCTGCCGAGTTTGCTGTCGAAGGTCGAGGCCCCTGGACGTCCTCGAGGCTCTTCGAAACCGTCACGGAGACTTCCTCACCTGGCAAGCAGCAAAGCTTTGAGAAAAAAGACATGGGAAGTACTCTATTATCCTGCGTTAGTTCAAGCTCTGGAAAAAACGTGAGCCACCTCATCATTCAGGTACTACAAAGTATGGAAGGCTCCAAGTCTCTTTTGGGGAATGGGTCTAAAAACCTGAACCCTTAAGGCCTGAACCCCGAAAAACCCAAAACCCCAAATAGTAGCTTCCACTGTCTTGTCCATTATCCCAATATTACCCCAATATACTATAGTAGCTTCCATTTTGTTTTCCACTTCAGGCCTGCAGCTGCTTCTTGCGTGTTGCCATCTTCGAGGGCCTCACGAGTGATGTCATTTGCTATGCAGTAACCAGGCTCAGGTACAGAATTGCTGGTAGGGGAGCTCAGGGTTCAGGGTTTAGGAGTATCCGTATGCATATGTAGATACACACATGTATGGGGACTGTGCTGGGAAAATTCAGAGATCATTCTACAGATCCACTCCTCACTTCTTCAATAACCAGCCACCCCCCCCCTCCCCTCCCCTCAAAAAAAAAAGCTGAAAGTCTTGTTACAAGGAGCAACTATACAAACCCCAAAAATGTCTAAAAATGTTCCCCCTTGAGGAAGTACGACTCTTACACAACGAGCAGTTCAAGGCCGCGGCTAATGTCGCTTCCTCACCTGCCAGGGGCTTCCCAGAAGAGGAATGTTTTTTTGGTGGTTGAACCCCGCAAGATTATATTCTTTATATATATATATATAAAACTATACCCCAAAGGAGGACATAATCTTATCTCTATCATGGGTACCATAGTATCCCCAAATACAATACTACCCAAAAGAGGAGTGGTACCCTTATATTGGGGAACCCACATCAGCTACTATAAATATACCCATTATGGTAATCTTAGCCCTTAACCCTAAACCCTGAGGGAACAAAGCGCTTAGGGTTTAGGGTTTTGGGGGAGCGGTACCCTCAGGGACCATAAGGTTTGGAGTTCTTGGCTTTAGGGCTCCCTAAGCGCAAAGAAGAGGTAATCTTAGGGAGCAAGGAGATGCAGGAAGTTTGTGATTGTAAGGGATACTTGGGGATTATAGGGGATATGAGCGGATGACAGGGGATAGGGGAGTACGGGGGATAGATGGGGAGTATCAGGGATTATGGGCATGGTGAGGGATATCTTAAGGGACTATAGTGGAAGTTCCCGGGGTCTTATTGGGGAGTACGGAGGGACCATTTCAAGAAAACCCGCCTGCACGCGGTGTGGCTACTCCACGCGGCGTGGCTGTAGGCGTTGGCATGCGTGGCAAGGAAGTGTCCTTAAGCAATGGTCTTGCTCATGCTTCGCTGGCATAGGGGAAGATGAAAATAAACCATGGAAGCTACCGTGTCATTCTAGTTTTTTAGAAGTTCCTCTTTTCCCTACATTTATACATATACAAATCAATATGTGCACTTGGAAATGGCAGAGTGGATCCCTATGCCTATAATCCATTCCCCCAAGCCCAACTAGGGATGAGACAGCAATTCTTCCGGTCCAGGGCCAGGGAAGGCGACATGATGACATGCCCAACTGATTTAGCCGAGCAGCTGTGAAGAGCGGCAACTGTCTCGAGGGCCGCCTAGGCATGTCATTTGTGCTTCCCCAAAATGGGTCGGCCTCAATGTGCTTTGAATTATGCCCTTTTTGGTGAAGGCAGCCGCGAACACAAGGACTCATGAACGTCTCATGACAATTCAGGCCTGTTTGTCTCCGAAACCAGATCGCCGAAGCTCTTGCCTCGTGTGGCGATGGGGTAAGGATAGCATTTCCGCCTTACCGGGGCCATGAGTTTGGAAATATTTGCAGGAAAGAACGGGGGAAAACATCTCTCCTACCAATGTGAGCAAAAAACACAAAAAAATGCATCGCAGCGTGAGGCACCACGGCAGCACGGGTCACTCACATCTGCAGCTAGGCGGCCAGTGTCATTCATTCGAGGTGAGCGTGCACCTGGTGCCGTTCCAGCGATGTACTGCCATTTGATGTTTGAAGGCCCCATATATCTTAGGGCCAGCAAAGAAACCACGCATTGTGTGAGCCCAAGCAGCCACAGACAATCTGGAACTCCCCCTTGTAATGCTGAGATGGCTGGAGCATTCGAACGCTGACATCTGGGAGTTTCTCACAGATATAGCCCTGAATAGGGCAGAAGGGGTGCTGTGGGGCCTGGACTTTTGCATGCACATTTTTTGGCCTCAAAACTTAGGTCTGCGTGTGCATATACATAAACATTTACATATATCCACATACAGGTTTTTGAATACCCATGATTCCCTTCTGAGGAGTGTTAAGGATTGTTCCCTCCCCTCCTTGAACTTCAGCTTTGGATGGCAGTATCTCCGAAAACTCTTCAACGTAAACCCTGTTAGATCCTGGAAAATCCGTCAAGTCTCAGAAAACTTCCGCGAAAGCCCAGAAAGCCCCAGAACTTCCACAGGAAATGCGTATATTTTGTGGATAGGTCTTTCATATACTATGACATACTATATTATACCCTGGAAGAGGATTTAATCTACTTACTCTACGTTGGGGACTATGGTATCCCCAAATCAAAGTACTACTCCCTAAACCCCAAACCCACTCACTTGAGGTCCTCACGATTTTGTGGAGTGGGCGGCGCCATCATCCCAGGATGGCGGGAAGGTGGCAGGGCTAGCGGCAGCGCCCTTACTGTCACTGCTGCTGTTGCCGTGACTACAACTGTTTGGGGTTTAGGGCTTACGGTTTAAAGGTTGCTGTTGCTGCGGTAGAGGGAGGAAACCTTGCACCACCTTTATAGCCAAATAAAAATGAAATTTTGGAATACAAATACTAAGTGGGGCACGATTTCCTTCGTATATGTCTATGAGTAGTAGATCTTATATGGGTATAACGGCTTGTATTTCTACTGGTTTTGCTACTTCTAGCAATATAGAACTTGGGTCAGGATGTAGGCATTAGGCTCGTGCAATGCATGAGGCTCTTCCGGCTTATGCAAGGATTCAGAAAGACCATGTACAATTTGTGATGAATCCGGCTGAGGTGCACTTGCCTCTGCTGGCCCCATGCAGCTGATGCATCCTGGCATGAGCCGCGTGTTCAGATAACCGTGTAAGAATTTGAAATAGTATCAATAATGACAGCGCTAATCACAGTAGTGGTAATACCAACGATTTGAATAAAGGATTGCAATCTCTTCACATGTCGCATTCCTGTACCCCTGACTGAATAGTTCCAGGTTCCAACAAGGCATTGTCTGTCTGACCTCCCATGTCATTCTGCATTCTTGCGGGGGGCTACAGTAAACCCTATAAGTCCCTAACATATGCTCATAGCCCCTACAACCCCATGAAGCCCTAAACCCTACACTAACGGTACGTACCCCCCCTTTTTTACTTACTGAAGTGGATAGGGCGTCTTGGTGCCGACACAGACCCAAATTTCTGCATTCGTTGGAAATTGAGGAGCAAGCAGTCTTACCATTTTGAGTGGCGCGGGAGAAAAGAGCCGTGATCTTCGGAAACTCACTTGCAAATACAGCGTAACACAAAGGAGGAAGGCGGTCCTGCAAAGCCAGCGTGGCTGGTGCGGCCTCAGTCTGTTCCTACGAGATCAAGACAGGAAGCGTATCCATATCGGGCAGTGGTCGGATGTTTCCCATGTAGTGTTACGAAGGGCGTTCTCTAAAATCGTGCCTAGAGGTGATCCTGTACTACCTGGCTACAAGCTGGATTGTTCCCTACCAAGCTTTCCATACTACCATCATACGACCTTCATGGGTGCGAGGCATGTAGAGGAAGATGATGCAAGACTACCCACAGCCACCTGTACATAGTTTCTGAATGCATTCACACATTTGCTAAGCATCTCAATAATAGAAAATTCTACAAAGCTGTTTCCGTAAGTGTTGGCCCCCAAAAAAATCCAAATATGCTACAGCCCTTATTCCCGGACCAAAATATATTATCATCCTTATTCTAGGGGCCCCATTTTTGGAAATCCTACATGAGCCCTAGACTAAATTTGTAGCATATCCCTTAATATGTCCCCCCCCCGCCAAACCCCTATATAGTCCCCTATAGGTCCCCCGCAACCTAAATTCAGTCCATAGCTCACATATCTCAGCCAAATGGATCTGGGAGCCCAGCCGCCTGCATCATGGCCCCTGCCAGCTTGCACTTATAGTCCCCCTGAAGTAGATAGAATATGCCTTTAGGAATTGTATAATAGGATCCCCGTACATCCCATATTCTCTCTACTTAACGGGACTATACGTCTCCACGATCTCTCCCCTTATTGCTCTAAGGACTCATACGGTTGATACTAAAATTCATATAGCACCCGAATTCCCAATATCATGTACTTAGGGTCATGCAGGATTCTTAATATCCATCGTAGTTGAAGGAATTTGGGCCCCAAGTTCCACATAATATATAAAGGACTCTAGGGGTAACCTTGACCCTTACGGTCCCAATCTAGGTAGGGTCAAGGATTTTGACAAGTGGTGGCCCCAAGATGAGCGCAAACATGCTGTATAATCCTTACTAATCCTCTGTGTAATATGGGGTTTATGAAGGAATATGTGGGTTATATAAGGATAATGGTCAAGAAAATGGAAGCTACTATTACTATTTAGGGTTTAAGGATTAGTCCTCTCCCCCAAAAATATTACACCTCCGCACTTCCCGCTAATATTGAATACTCCCCATTTGTAGTATATTATAGTATATTGGGCATATTTCATATTAGAGGGGGTGGGGGCTTTGATATTAGGGGAGGGGATTATCCAGACTCAGAAAAAGGGCCCCTAAGTTTCGGAAACCCCCCCCCATTTAGCATTCAGGGTCCCCCAAAGAAATAGCAAGGCTTAAAGAACCCCCGGAATTGGGGAGCTCATGTGGAGTTAATTGGGGATGAGTAAGGAGCCTCTAGGTGATTGCACGCAAGGGCCTGCCCCTACAGATGCGGGGTCAACCAGCTTCCCGACACTTCTTGCAGCCATTGCAGGCTTCCGTTCAAGATCCAGGGCCCTCCTTTGCAAAGGAGTCAGTGACAAGAAAACTCCCAAATTCAAGCAAAGCATTCCAGATAGCTGCTTTGCGGCATTAAAAGGCAGTCAGCCCACGGCAAAACACCTCCCAGTTTCTCACAGCCCCTCTATACCCTTGCAAAAAACTCGTTCATGTGACATGGCATTTAAGACCGACCAACTGGGCTCCAGGCCCCAAGGTTGGTACCAAAAGTCCAAGGAGTACTTGAATCAAATACCGAGGTTCAAGCGTACTTCCAACACGATGGTATGTGTGCACCCGATGCGCCCGCACTCTTCAAGTTCCGTGTCAGCACAGAGCGGTGCCAAAATCGAAAGTGACCCGACAAGCTTGCTAGCCAGCTGTGGCATCCGAGGTGTCACTTAGATGGTGAGAAGAACTGGGTGACACACACACGCGATCAACAGCCACTCTCTTTAATCTTCAAGGAGGAGGGCCTTGTGTGAGAAAAACCGAAGATAAGTGAGCGGAATGTCCTCTGGAGAGTTAGTCTGGCAAAAACAAAGTACGTGATGTTGTTTGACATATAAAGCGATATTACAAAAGCCCTAAAAATCCCAGGCATCAACAGCAGCTTGCTAGTGGTTCCAAGGGATGGGGGAACCAATCCCAGTAGCAGTTCTGCTGCAACCCTACTGATATAGTGGTCTTGAACGTGCTCTTCCCTTCCGATTATCTCCCGATCTCTGCCAGTAAGTTATCTGACACGTCCCAGCCTGGCATCATAGGCGCTGGCAAAGCCATCTGATGCTGCTGCTGGGCAGCGCCGCCAAGCATCTGGCGCGGCTTGCAAGTGGTATCTTAATGAGCGGTTTTGGTAAGCCGAACCAAACAGTGACGGCACTAGAACTATCAATAGTATCCCGATTTTTGCGCTTGGGGCTACCAAATTTTTTTGCTGGTATTTAGGGATGGGAAGACTTACCATGTTGCCTAGAGATTCGAAGCACATCAATTATAATTATGTGCAGATTTTTCTCAGAGTTCTGGCCGCCGTCTACATGGATAGGTGAAGCTATAAATATGCACAGGGACATGCGTACAAAAAAATGTCACACAAGCACGCGCAAAGAGAGAGAGAGAGAGAGAGAGCTTGTGGTAAAGCAATGGGCCAATGGGGATAACGGGGCTATTCTCAAAATCAACATGGCACATAGGCGCCCTGATCCTGCCTATCTGCTTCCAGGACACCAAAGAGATCCATAGGTTTCAGAGACTACCCTTTATGCTTCTAAACCATAAACCCTAAACCCTAAACCCTTTATGCTTCTAAATGCCTTGCACGGCCAAGGTTGCATGTAAACTCAAGTTGCACCTGCGTCGCAGTTCCTGGCGGATATCCCAGCGACCTCATGGCCCAGCTCACGTGTGTTTTAAAGGTCGATTGGACTTACTTAAGTATGTTATAGTATACATTATAGTATATGTTATGTTATATGTACTATGTTATAGTATACTACAGTATAATATTTGTGTGGGGATCACTGGTGTTCGTGTGTAGGTTGCAGGGACGAGCCTGTAAAGCCTGCTTACTCAGACTTGCGCAATCCCCCCGACCGGACCCTCCAAGCGCTGCCGAAACCACGCGCTTCGCAATGCTTGACACAATCTCTGAATCCTGCATACCCTCCTCCAAACTGACCTGAAAGCCAGCGCATCCTGTAGAAACTACTGACCCGTTCCACTAGTGGACTACACGGGATTGCCGTGAGTTTGGGGAAGGCGAAAAGCTGAGCAGGCAGCTGGTAGTAGGACTCGTAGTACTGCAGCATGTGGGGATCCTCGGCTCTGGGCTCTGCTTTGACTAGCTAGCATAGCATCAGCTCACGCATCTGCATCAACCAACCTACCCAGACTTCCTGGGAGGATCGGAAAACCACCGATGCTACAACATCTGTTTGAAGATCCCTCAGGTGGTCCTCAGGAACTAATAGCCCTAAACACTAAACTGCGTGGCTGATGATCGAAAGCCTGAGGCTAGCGCGACGGCCGCCTCGAGTTGAAGAGGGGCAACAAGGTGTCGATCGCTAAATTCTGTATACCATCCTACAAACCAGATTAAAACATGCGATCTTGCAATATACTATAATATAACGTACTATAATACAACCTACCATATGGTTAGAAAATACTGTATAATACGTTAGATCAATGTCCATGTGGGGATGTGCGGGTTTCCAACAATCAGACGTGCATGTCTGCGAGGCCGGGTGACTCCCCAAAATCGGGGTTATAGTATGAATATGAGGGTAGTTCCCCAAATTAGGGTCCCTTTTCTGTGCCCCCAAGTATTAGGTGCCGTAATATAAATTATGCCCCAGAGTCATCCAGAATTTTGAGAACAGCACATATGTTAAAGAGAGAGAGAGAGCCTTGTGAAAGATCCGTGGATCGTGTGTGAGGGGCCAAAAATTGCCAATCCCCTTTGGCAGAATTTCTGGTATAGGCGAAATTTGAACGATCCCGTGCTGCAGGGTACGAGTACATCGAAACTGGCAGGTCCCATAGACTCGGGGGTTCCCAACGTGCACCCGAATAAGCTTTAATCCTTATTCTGCATATGGGGACCTCAAAAACCACAGTTATACCTGGGGAGTGTTCTCGAACCTAGGCCACCTTTTGGATGCTCTTTATGGTGCGGCGCTGAAGTTTCAGGATGCCGAAGGAATAACAGTAGCTTTGACACACCCCCCAGTATAAGGATTATATATATATATATGTATGTATAGGGCCCAAGAATTGAAGGAATTAGATGGTGATAGCATAGGGACGAAAGCAAGTGGAAACTACTATATTCTGTAAGGTTCAGAGCTTTGCCAGCATCAGCCAACATGCCAGGTATAGTAGATGCACATGGGTTTTTAGCAGGGCAAGCAGTAGAGACTTCGTTCACTTACCAGAAAACACCCCTTACCCACCCAAAGCGTTCCTCCGACAAGCATAACATTGGCAGTATGTGAGACGAGGCAGGACCAATACCTTAGGTGGACCCTCCCCCATCCAGTAGTACTGACTATGAGGGAAAATCACGTTTTAGTTAGGGCCCGCGTACATTCCTGTTACAGGGCAGGGGGTCACGTCGATGCCTATCCCTACAAGATACCAACATTCCCAAGCAACTCTATATGCAGTCAACACGGCCATTATAAAGCCCTAAGCCAAAAACCCTAATGTCTAAGCGCCTAAACCCTAAACCCTCAACCCTCTCATGTATTCATCCCAGACCCTTCGCCCTCACTCCTTAACCCCAATCCCTCTTTGCATGCAGTCCTCAGAAAACTTACCCCTTTTCAAGCTAGGCCTAAAGGCTAAGTCCTATAGTCCCTGAATCCCAAGTAGTGTGAGCTTCGATATAAAATCTTTGACCATCACCAAACCCATTACCATGCGTAATCCTAGTTTCCACTTCATCTTCCATTCTCTTTTCCATATGATTCTCGATAGATTGGGATACACCTCAATAGAATGCGAGATCCAAAGCCCTGTTCGCAGAAGGGATGGCCTGCATTCCCTCCTGGCAAGTCACGAAGCAGCCGAAGCAAAAAAAAGTGGGGGTGTATTTCGGGTTTGAGGTATGGGGATTGTAAAGGAATCGTTATGAAGGGGATTGGAAGTGGATAATAATGCAGGGATGCATGGAGTAAGCTGGAAAAGGAAATGGAAGGTACCATGTCATTTAGGGGTCAGAGCCCAGGCTCGGGGATTAAGGAGGTAGGCGCCTAAATAACGCAATAGTGGAAAATCAAATGAAAAATGAACATGGAAGATGAAAAGGACATCGGGCGAATGTAGGGGAATGGGGGATCTAATGCGCCCTTCGTGAATAACGAGGCCCAAACCCGTCCAAACTTTGATACTTTACAAACCAGAAAAGCGTAAAGTTCTCCGATTGAGGAAGCGGGAATGCCTGGCGAGCGCGAAGGGAGCTATATGGATCCCCAGACTATGCGTCCCTTTAGGCGATTAGAACCCCTTGAAGTCTCAAACCCTAGACTATACAGCCTCATACCCCCCCTTATGAAACTACGGGGCCCAGAACATTTTTGCGGATGTATATAAACAATGAGGGGTTCTGAGGGATCGCCCTTAAAGCTCATATAGGGGTTCGTGTAAATTGAGGGTCCCTTTTTTGCGGCTCCTATGTTAAGGAATATGCTGGTTGGGGTCTTTGCTGGGGCCTCCCATTTGCTGGAAACTACCCTACAGCTGTTGTTACTTGATGCTTTTGATAAACTACCACCTGGAACCCCAGAAGGAGCCCTGCAAACATTGGTGCGCCCTGAAGCAACTCCAGAGTGTGGATTCTGAGATGACTCGCTCAAGATGCAAAGAGATAAATGGTAGTTTCCATAATTTGGGGGGCCTCAATATAGACCCCAATAGGCTATCAGCCCTCACTGACCCAAGTACCTTTGGGAGGTATCCCAGAACCTCTTACAACCCCTCACTTGTCCAAGGCGTGATGCGGTCCTTGCCCTCCTTTCCTGACATATCGGAATTTGCCACCTCACACAGTACAGGATAGCAAAGGCGTCGCAGAACGTGGGCAATAGTCTACGTAAACTCCTGAAAGGGATTGTTTCGGGGATTATATAGGGGACTACTATAAGGGTTTTCACGGGGGATACTAGGAGTTTGGACCTTTTTTGCAACAGGCTTTGGATGAATGCCAAACTCCTAAACCCTAAAGCGTATGAAGGGGGATACGGTTTAGACTCTAAACCCTAACCCCTACAATAGCTCACGTGGCCGGAACTGGCGGCTTGTGCCTTCGATGGCTTGATGCTGTAGAACTTCTTCCGCACCTAACGGGTGTAGGGATCTATTAAGGTTCAGGGTTAAGGAATTACGGTTTAGAGCGTCTAGGGAAACAACATGAACCACAATAAGGGACCTACAAAAGCTACTGACTTCATGGCAAAAGGGGGTTCCATGGTGTTCCAGGGTGAGGAAACACAGACTTACAATTTGGTCGGGAATTTTGCAGGAAATGGCACTGCCAGCACCGCTTTCTGAAGGAGACCCCATGCCTCCCTCATGACCTACATGAGCTATAGTCTAAATTATACTCCCTCATATGATCCCCTATATAACGCCCTTTAAGGTATTTAAACCATTTTAAACCCTAGACCCTATATAACCCCTTTAAGGACTTTAGACCCTAAAACCTCTTTAACCCTTTTCAGGACTTCAGACTACAGTTCACTTACTCCCCAAGTGGTCTGCAAGGCCCTGGTTCAGGACCTGGGGATCCCACCCAGTATGCGGAGACCAGCGCCAGCACCACAAACGTGAACAAGCCACTCGCAAGGATGGCCACCATGATACCTGACACATTGGGCTTCAACCAAAAAATAAGGGTCATACTTTAGGGGGGGTTCCTAAAGCAAAGACTGTTGCAATTTTGTTGGTTTATACTGGGCCCTATAACCCAAGTGTATCCCCTATTTTAATGTAGTAGTTTCCATTTTCTTTTCCGTTATCCCTATACAAACCCAATATATTCAAATATTTCCGCTACTTACGAAAACTACGACAAGCCCGCTGGCTGGCTGGATGAGTGGTCGGTGGGCCCTGGTGGTCGTGGTGACAGCCCTCCGTTACATCTGCAGCAGCAGCAGTAGCAGTAGCAGTGCTATTAAGCTACAACTACTCCACCTCCTACTACTCCTTCGGCGTGTTAACAATACATGACGAGATGCATTGACAAGACATTACCATGCATGATGCCAGCAATCATCACCAGAATGCAAGCAAAGGCAGGCAACAGTTGTAACAACAAGATGCTGGGCTACTTCCAAAAGCGCCTGTTGAGAGTCCCTCCTCGCTTCCTGTCTGCGGTGCCGCTTGCGGAATTTGGGCTTCGAAGACTTCCAGCACGGCCCTGTGTGCAACAGGGCTCGACATGCCGGACATTGCAGTTGTGTGGGAGCTTCTCAAAAATGCTTTTTTAAGGAGACCAGGGATATATGGGGATTTTAAAGGACATTTGGAGGGTAGAGATTACATAGAGGCCCGTTTGAGAGACTCTGGTTGCAACTGCATGTCCCAAGGCGCTGGCCCTTGTTCTGGATTGAGGATGTAGAGGGATGGATTGTCCTCAGCGAGCTGACTGCCGCAGTGACACCTTCCTATCTGACCTTGGCATCTAATTATTGTAGATTCCTAGCGGGGCCCAGGCACGGGACAGCCTCCTTAAGAATGACTCCTTAAAGGAGAATATGCAGGAGAACCAGAGGGTGTGCCCTATTGGGGTCCCCTGCGGGTCCCCTGAGGAACTGCCTGACCATTTCCCATTTGGGTCATTAGCCGAGCCGCGCAATTGGATCCCATGATGCCAGCGGCCTCGACGGCGCCTGCAAGTCTGGCGGGGGGCGGGGAGCTGTCACTGATTAGACCGCGGACATCCACCGCAAGGGCATTTCCCAGAACGAGAGTCTTGCCTACATACACCCACACGTTTGCAAGGGTTTTTTCTAAGAACAGATGCTGAAAAAACAATCTTGAGAAGGCCCTGGAACTCTGCACACTGCGAACCTGTTGTGATGTTTGTGCTTCCATCCTGGCTGCGCTGGATGGAAGCACTTGCGTCGCATACGCAAACGCGATACCTGGCGGATAGACAAAGTCAGACAACAACCGCAGCATGCATGTGTGTACCTACCATGGTATGCGCACCAAAATGAGAGTTTGTACAAATACACGTGTGCATGTAAGAAGATATACATATATACACAGAGTTACACATACACATACGTGCACGCATCATTTGCGTCTTGGACATATTATGCATACTAGGTCATGCCATGTATGCATGCGTACATTATAAACCGGCTCTAGATCTGGAACACGTGCCGGTTACTGAAAGGAGGTAAGCAGAAGCCGGGCACCATCCAGGATTCTGGACTCGAATCGAGGAAGCACCTTAAGCTCAAAAGCACGAGGGATTGTCGTTCTAAACTTACGTGTAGGAAGGTTATGATCAGGAGTCAACGGCCAATCTTTGATCAGCAGTGCAAGCGAGTGAGCTAACCGTCTACCCAAGAACTAACCAGACAGACTTTGGTGATCTCCGGTGTTTCATTCGCCGAGCACTCTGAAGAGCGCCACGTCATCTTGCAAGTGGGATGCAGAAGCCTTGCTCCCATTCCTGCGGTACCAGGGGTACTTGTACCCGAAACAGCTCATGGATTGACCATGCACGATTTGATCAAGCTGACGTCTGCATCAGGTAGGCACCGTTCTCGAAACGCTCTTGCTCCTCCCCGCCTGATGAGCCCGCAGAAGCCGACTTCGTCAAGGGCCAGCTGTGTCTCAAGTGGATGGCTCGCAGGTTGAGGAGCTTGCGCAGGAACCATCTTTCAAAATTCTCCCCGGGTTCGAGCCAATGAAATGGAAGATCTAGATGGTGCGAAATCAGATCAGGTTGCGCTCCATGAGAGCCAGCCGAGGAAAAGGACAACCATGCACAATCTCTGCCGCACCGATGACGCCTTAGCAGGATGCCATCTCTGTTATGAGATGAAGTTACTCTTGCTACGCAGTGGCCGTGATACGAATGGCGGCTTCTGCGAAGACCAGGCTTCCATTTTCAACACCTTACTCTCCGATTCGTCTTCTCAAAGCTGCTGGTGGACTGAGATCTGAAGACCTCTGCATGAAACAAGCCAAGGCGCGCCAAGAGCTCTGGATAAACTCTGGTTGCAGGGCGCGTGCATCCGCGTTGTAAGCCAGGAGGCTGCCGTTCTTCACTAGTCGCCAGTCTCCGTCCCTCAGAAGTGACAGGGACATGCAAAGTCAAAGTCCGCCCTGCTCTGCCTTCTGAAGTTGAACAAATGGGGCTATACCCTAGTCTTCCTGGAGCCCTGGGATCGGAGGTCTTCAAACAAAGGCCTTGGAATCGTGGGTCCCACTTTCCAAGGGGCCCATTTCACGCTTCTAGCCCTTTAGATGGAGCTCCAGAATTAGATAGAATTCACTGGCCCAAACGAAAACGCCTCGAAGATCCAAACGAATCCTCCCTTGACCCAAATCTGGAAAAGTTATCTCTACATCAGATGCGTACACTTGGAAAATTGATATGTGGTTTCTCGCATGTGTTCTCTCATCCCTTGCTGCGGGAGCACGTGACATATGCTTAGCAGAGAGCATCCTTCTTTGGGGATTTCATATTTGCATATCGTGAACGATTTGTCTGCAAGAGTGCGCTCTCAAGAAGAGACTGCAGACTATGCAGCATCTGAACAGAAATCGAAAACCCAAAACTGTTTCTGGGTAGTTGTGTGGGCCCCTGATTCACGGTAATTTCACAGATTTTGGGGTCCTTCTCACGGGTAAACGGGTCTTCTCACGTTTTTTTCACTGTATTTCACGGTTTTGAATTTGGAGGTGTTCCCACATGGCCAGTCAGACTGCTTAATTTTGAGCGCCGACGAGCCTGGAGACCCGTGTACCATCCACCCGCCGATATACATATGTATATAGATGCAACTTCTGACTTGAAAAACGTGCCAACATTACATAGCATTTCTTCTCGGTTCGAGGGGTTCTTTATGGGGTCACCTTCTCCTACTGTCTTTGGGGGCCCAATCCCTAAACCCTCAACCCCTAAAACCCTAAACCCTATGGATGGGTTCAGGATAAATTCTTTAGGAGGTCGTCTTGTCCCACATTTCTCAGGGCCCAATTAGCTTTGTACAGGTTATAATCTGAACTCCTTAGGGGTCACCTGCTTTCATGGGTTTTGGGGGTCCAGGGGGGTATTTGAGGGTCCTATGGCAAGACCCTGGAATCGGAGGTCTTTGGAAGACCAGGGTATATTGGGATAATGGAAAAGAAAATGGAAACTACAAGGATTATAAGGGTCATATAGGGATTATATAGGGTACATAATGGGATCATTGGCCGAGCGGCATATTGCTGTATGCCAGCGACACGTCATCACCTACGCGTAGGTATGCTGGACGCCCATCAGCATCTGCCGTGCGAGCATACCATCCATTTAACACCTAGGAAGACATGTACGTGGTAGGCTGTGATAGGGACTGGGACGCCGTGAGCTCTGGTACCCAGGTATGTTGTAATGTGCGTATATACATGTATATACTCATAAACGTGACCATACAACCCTGTCCGCGTTGCACTCCCCAGTTGCTTTACCATAATGGCAAATAACATCTAGTCTTGCAGATTGGGTGGGGGTGTTGTGATCAAGTGAAGAGATTAGACTGATTGTAGGCCCTACTGGATTCAATTTACTATGCACCCATATCACGGCAAGTAGATTAAGTTCCTTAACGGCAGCCCAGCCTAAGGCCATATTGAGCCGCCGACGTCCTGGTGCATCTCAGATTTGATGAGCACGAAGCTGGACCCAAGGCTGAGGCGTCGGAGGTGGAGTGGAAATGGATCCTCTGCACAAGCGGAGAGGGGTTCATGCCTGCGCAAAAGGATGTGTTTGCGTGGTTATACAGGAGAAGAAGACAGAACAATGGCAAATATAAACGCACAACCATGATCTCATCTTTAAGCTTTACACGCCCCTACTTCGCGCGCATTCATATGCGTTACAACATCCAGATACATGCTCCCCCAACAAGATCGTAACAACATGCCACTCCGCAAATGCATGCGAAGATATGTACATAATATAACCCTAACATAACCCCAATATACTATAGTAGTTTCCATTTTCTTTTCCATTATCCCAATATATCCCCTAGATAACCACATGATGTAAACAATATACATGTACGCTGGTCTTGAGTCAAACTTGCCAGGTCCTCCTCAGGGCTGTTGCTAGACCAAAGCCATCCTTCAAGGGAGCACAGGAACCCTATTCCCCGATGGCCCATCTATAATGGGATATATTAGGGTTATATTGGGGCTATATTGGGATAATGGAAAAGAAAATGGAAACTACTATAATGGGATAAGGGCTCCTCAAGTAACAAGGGGATTTCAGTTACCCAAACCCCTAAATTAGGAATCTGGAATGCCCATGTGATGGTTCTACGGTCCTTAGTATCCATCAGATTATAAGTAAGATTTTGGCTGGTGGCCTCTCACTGCTACAAGAATGACGTTCAACTACACTACTTCCAGTGTTCCCCAACTGAGCAGCTGCCATGGCGTTGGTGTTTCCATGAATGACGGGTCCCATAATACACCCCCATATAACATAGTCCTTATCAAAGGGAACACCACCTAATCCTAAACCTTGAACCCTTACCCCTAAACCTGTAACCTTAATCCCCTAAATATATATATATATAAATACATGTATATATATATATATATTCCCCCTTAATAAGTAGATAGAATATGGCTTTGGATATATTAAAATAAGATCCCAATATACCCCATATTCTATCTACCTAGGGGGGGACTATAGAACTGTCCTTTGCCCGGCTGCTGTAGGTTTGCAAAAGCAAAGGCGGCTTCTGGGCTCTGCCCACCCGTGAGAGCTCGGAATAGAATCTTAGTATTCGTTGGGTGGAGGGTCAGGGAAACTTTGTAAGTGGGTGAATAAGGGGGGATAAGTATAGGGCTATTGTATGGGTAATAGGGGTTCTGAAACTACTTACTAAATCCGCCTGACCCTCCAAATAGGGTTTACGGTCCAGGGTTTAGAGTGCCTAGAGGCTCAGCGAACTTAACAAGTAGGTTGAAAAGGAGCCCCATCTTTTTAACCTACCCATTACTTACTGTCCCCTGAGTCTCCAAGTTGGACCCCCAAATGGAACAAACCCCCTACCCGTTACTGGGTTGCTGTTAAGGAACTTAAATTAAGTTACGATATTGGGGAAACCCCATTATTGGCTATATATACCCATTATGGTAACTTAATTTAAGTTTCTTAACAACAACCCAGGTTATAGAAAGGAACAACTCAGGGAACTGAGGGG